GGTTCCCGTGCTTAGCGAGCAGCATCTTTAGCTTAGCCAACTTCTCTTCTTCGTCCCTAATCCTACTTTACTTCCGTCTTATTTCTGCTAGAAGCTCGAAGAGGAACGATTTATTCTTCCCGTTAGGAACTGGAACTCCCTTCTGTCTAAGCTCTTCTTTAATCTTATTAACTATGATTCTGTTAATCGTAATCTTGTTAGAATTGTCGTTAGCTTCGATGCTTACCCTAGGTGTCTTCGCTATACGGAAGCCGCTTCCGTCCGTCTTAGTGACGATAGAAGAGGGCAATATGGATGGTCTAGTAATGCGCTTAGGCGGTGACGCCTTACTAGGTCTCTCCGGATCGCTAAAATTAGGTCTCGAGCTTATTTAAGCTCTAGATCGAGATTTTGTCATCCCCTAGTCTCGCTATTAGTGTGGATCTTAATAATGGAGTTCTTAGTCAGAGCAGGATCTTAAGCGTGTTTACCTCGAGATATAGAGACGGACAACAGATTGGTAACCACGACCTAAGACTGCTTAACAGAGGAGTAAGACTAGTTATAAGAACCTATAGGTAATAACTTCTTTAAACGCTATAACAGATAGAAAAGCCACGTAGTAATGTAAGCCTTACATAATATCTCACTTAGTAGGAATAGTGGATGTAGAGTTGTTTAGATAGGGACAGCTAAAGATGATGCTAGGAAAACAAACGAATAACAGAATGCTAGGCAATTCTAAGCTACGTGTCGAGAGGTCAATAAGTAGAACCATTACTAAGAAGTTTATATAAGTCTATGTCTCGCGTGGGATTAAGAGAGTAATATGAAACTAAAGTTAAGTGGCAGCCTAGTTATTTAGTCTAATCTACACTACGACCTATGCAAAATGATGACGATATGTGCGGATGCTATCCTATACTATATACAAAATCCTTAAACATTTCCACCCCTTATATAGTAACCTTACATGATCTAATTTACCGCAAATACTTCGTCCGTAAGCTAGAAAGGACTGCGATCTAGCTAATTCGTGCTAGGTAGCAACCTACTAATACGTTATAAACCGGCGTCGGTTAATATTAAGTTCAGGTTTAAAGCGCGTAGGAGTGTTAACTCTCTACTATACCTTATATATCGCCTAGAAGCTCATTCGATAAGAATCGAACGCAATAATAGCTACATCTTATAAGTAATGACATCGCCGGTCTAGTATCGATAATCTTAGGCCTAATCGCGTATCGAATCGCTAATATGCACTATGTTATATTAATGAGAATAGAGTCTCTACCTAAGGATGTTCGCCTTAGAACTCGTACTTTCCATCATTCTTTATAATACTTGCTCTACTAAGAGTCGAAATGTTCACAGCATATCGAGCTTAGGCCTATAAGGCAAGATTTGTAAATCGTGGCGGTTTTAAGCTAAAAATCTATTCTTCCCTACGTAAAAGACATTTTCCTAACGGTTAGACGCCCGTTTCGAGAGGCATGTTAAATAGACTAGTACATTATAGAATGACGGTAGCTCCTGTTTCCTGGGATTAGTACTCGAGTGCTAAGAGTTAACGGCTAATAAGCACACTCCTCGAGGTTGTTAGGCGATCGCGTCCTTAGACGCAATGTTTTAGGAACCTTATAATGTATGCTATCCCTACGGCAGAGTCATAGACGGCATTACCCTAATTAACAAAGAGACGAGTATTATATAAAAATTTAGTTTAGCTTATAGCCCCGTAGCTGTACGGCTAGCTTATTAACCTCGCCTAATCTGGATGGCTATAGCATAGCTAACTTACGGCACGTGACAAAACAGTCTTAGAAAAAGAAAAGTACTAAAGGGTTTCCTAACATCCTGTTAAAGTCATTATTAGGAAGTGACCGGTATGAAGATAAGTAAGTCGACAAATTTAATTCGTAGCAATCGAGAAAGGCTCTAGGCTTCGGATTTCTGGAGTCTAGTCCTCCTACGTGCACGAAGGCTAGTTAGAAGCATTAGGCTCGATACCTAATAAGGATGTGGTGCCTACGCCTTATAGGTTAGCAGTTCGATTTTGTGGTTACGCGATAACAGCTAATCGATAGCCGAGTAGAGTTAACTTAAACTATTATATACATGCTGTTAGACCTTCTAGCACTAGTGAAAGTCATGAGCCTACAGATTCTACATAAATCGTTAATACGCTTAGTTAAGCCAATCAAACATAGTCTATATCATCATAAACTAGTGATAGGTAGTAATTTTTACGTTAATTAATTTCTTTGTTAACTATTAACACATTATGTATAGGGAATGTTTAGGAAGCATATCTACACTGTCTAGTAGTCTCGATGCATTTCCTGTTTTTTAACTATATAAAAATCGTTTAACCTCTCTAAGAATCCGTCTAGATGCGTATATCTACCTATAGTCATTGCTACGCAAGATTTATATATGCAAACGCTCTTACTTTCGTAGTAGGTAAAGAAGACTAAGGAAAAGTTACTAAAGTTAGGAGCACTTAATGTCGTAATAAAGACTTATAGACTAATCTAAACGTAATGTGCATACTCGATAAGAATGAATAAACGCTAGCTAGTATGTTAACTATAGGGCTTACATTCGCATGCCTATAGCATTAACGTTATTTAGTCGGAATCGTAAGAGGCGAAAAGCATAGCGTAGATAGAGTTCGTAAGTATGATACGTTAAGAAGACTATTCTCTTAGATGCAATATCTGCCATATAGCCTTACACTCGACTTCTCGTAGCATATAATAAACAAGTATAGATAAGGATAAGTCCTTAACGGAAACATTTGCTCCGGAGAGCTACATGTAGCTTATAATACGTAGGTTATAGATGAGCAATGGCTTAGGACACTACCACCGACTAGCTATGCTACTACATGATACACCTACCGACACTGTTCCCTAAAGAAAAGCTATAGATCTTTCCTAATATGCATGTAAGATTAATACTAGGGAGCTCGGTACGGCTTAGCTTAGAATTTTTACCTGTAGTGTCCTTTAATAATCCTTTACTAGGTCTAATAAGTGTTACTTAACTAACAAAGGGACGAGTCTTCTTATAATCTAACCGGTCGTCTTACCGGTAGTCTGCTAGGATATTAGGCAGAGGAAAAGGGTATTACCGCTTACGTCTAAGCGAGCTCTATGACCTACGCTTAAATGATAAGCTTCCTTAGAATACCTAGGTAAAACACTGCGATAAAGATGTGTTAAGCTATTAAGAAATGCTCTTAGCGCTATTAGGATATAGGAAACTGGCTCCGCTACGTAAAAGGGTTCTTAGTTAGTATAAACATTATGATTAAAGATAGGCCGATGATTTCGCGCGACTTTCTAAGGAGATAAGTGACATCTAATTTATTATAGATAACTATAGGCAGCGATCTTTTTTCTCGCACTTATAGCCTTAATCCGGACTTAAATGTAGCACTCTATATACGAGTGACTCTTTCTATGTCCATGGTCGAATATTGGTCGTCTTAGTTAGCGATATTATTAAGGTCTAGGGAAGTTCTCTTAGACAGGTTATATAGCTCTTACGTAGCTCATCACCACATCCTTTCCGAGCTGCATAGTGAGTACTATGTATAGTCCGTGCATACTTTACGCTTACATTAAATGGATCTGTGCATAACTATGCGCCTATTCTTTATAGCCTCTAGTTAATATGCACCTAGACTAGCTTACACAGAAGCGTGCTAAGAGTCTATGACCCGCTCGGACATTACTAAAGATCGGACAAGTCGTCGCACTCGGGCTTTAATAAGTACATAAGTAAGGGAAATTTACATTGACACGCTACTTCTTTCACTCCGCTTCTTTTGATTTCTACCTCCGCACCAAAATATTCTCTAACTACTATAATTCTTAAGATGACCACATAACCATTTAACGAATTTATTAGAGGATGTAAAGTACGCCGGATCCACTATCATCGCCTTAAAGGCCTAGGGTTTGGCACCACCATTTTGCTAATTACGTTACTACCGACAGCTTTAACGATCTCGAGCTGCTCGAAAAAGTGTTGACCGCGAAGCTCTAGAAGATCTTCTCTAATATCTCTCTAACTGCCTGGAAAGACTTTATGACTGGTTTAGAAAGTCTAGAAAGTATCCGTGATCTAAAGATTGCAATCGGAGAAGTGAAGCAGAGTCTTTCTCCTATGATATAGAACGACTTGCTTAGCTCGCCTAACTTTCTACTCCGTTCCCTAATGACAGTTAATTGTTAAGATGAGTTGTCTCTAGAGCAATCGCTATCACCGTTACTGAACAGCATTAGAAAGGCTCTTTAAGAAGGATTATGCATAGGTAGTCACGATGACCGCCATGGAGATAGCGAAAAATTGCGTCATCTAGAACAAAGAGCAAATTATCGAATGAGTGTTCTTCGAATCCGACTTCGACGATTATGTACGAAGAAGACTTAGGAATGCTAGGACAGGTTGGACGACACGTTCTGGACTTTGTCCCGCCCACAAGTGAGGAAAATGGCAGAGAGCCTATTAGAGGCGTACTCTGCTGGCTTGAAATCCTTAGGGGATCGAGGGTCTGGAAGTCAATCGAACCGTGGAAGAAGCGAACTGGACATGGCTCGTTTGTCGGACAGAGTACATGAAGCCATCATGGCCGCGACTGAGAATAAGGATATCTACGAGCTTTTAGCCACAGTAAGGAACAACATCACTTTTCGATGGACTCCAACTAACGATGCAGTGTTTGGCTCGTAAAGGAAACAACGATTTGTATGCCGCGGTGTCAACGGGGATACGGAGAGCCATGGCGGAGCTGACGGATGCTAGCGAGAGTACCAGACACCAGCTTACTGATTCGTGAGAGATCTATCATTCGTGTAAGCATCAGTACCGTACAATCGAAAGATCGAGGGTATCTTCGAGTTAAGCATATCCTCTCCTAGACAGGATTCACGAGCTCGAAGATGCCGACCTTATGAGTGCTAGGCTACTCGATCGAATGGTTTGATGCTCTCCTAGGATTTGGTCTCTTGTCAATGGGTGATGTTAGGATCTGTGACAGTCCATATAGAAGCGATCGCAATTGCACCTTCGTAAGACTGGATGAAAGTAGCCAAAAATCCTGTCGGAATATTTAGAGCAAATAATACAAAGAGTGAGCGCCAAACTTGTGACCCTCACATCCAACGAAGAGCGCAGCTTACCAAGTAGACGTGACGGACTTATGACTAATGAATCTCGATCTAGAAAAGCTTCGTCGATAGGATCCATCTCTGTCCACCCGTAGCTCAACTATTAATGTGCGGCCTCGGCGGACGCAAGAATGCCTTCAATTCTTGTCTGAATGTGTGACAGGTCATCGTCAGGTCTTGGGTTCATGTTACGTGACGAACGGGTACGCTAGCGTAAACATGTGGGCATCAGTGTGCCTAAAGGAGTTCAAAGCTGCTAGCTATCATCTCCCGCAACTTATGTTCCGCTCCTGATCGACACGCTGATTATGGAGCACGAAATCGACAGACCTACTGGATCTCGAAGATCTGTCAAGATACCTTCTGCCTCCGCGGTGAGATCCTCTCCCAAATCCCAATGCTCCGTCTTGGTCTTATGCCTTTCCCTCCATATGTTGGGTTTCTTCATTCGTGGCTTCTCCTTATTGGTCAGACTCTTACCTGTACCTTTGCTTTACTGACCACTGTCCACTCCGCCTATATGCACATGTCAGATGAAGTATACCATTGCTCGCATCGACACAAACTAACCTTATCATTGTTCTCTCCAACATCTCTCTTGATCAAGGCAGGGAACCAGATTGTCTCGAGTGAGGGAGTTTCGCATCCGTCGACGTCTCCCATCGTATATCCGTTGACGTCTTCCATGGCGCTTGTGTCGAAACTAATTCTTTGACCATCACGAGGAATGTGGAAAAGATGGAGACGGTATTCGGCTTCCTGAAATCGTAGAGCTTGAAGGGCTGCTATGCGAGGCTGTATGGCTCTTCTCAGTCTTCTTGCGGCTTCGGAGCTCACGGGCTTGCTGCAAGCTCTGGACACTATCCCTTCTGCTTCTGTCACAAACACTTCCAAGAAGTCTTCCGCAGCCTGCTTCGCAGACGCATCGTCATGAGCGAGGATCTCGTTGGTTGTTATGATCCACTGCTTCTTTCGTTGCTCGGAAACTTCGATCGCTGGAGAACTTTAGTTGCGCATATACCAGCAGTAAGACTTGTACTTACCTCTCATTGACCTGTGCAACTTGTTGGCTTCGGCGACGACGCCATTTGATGCGTACCCGAAAACATGGTCATCATCTAGGATGGCTAAAAGGATCTCTGAAAGGCCGACGACGACACTGTTGACTTGGAAACCAGCCGCGTTGTCCTCGAATTGTGGCACTGTCGTCAAGAGCCAATCAGCAAATTCCGGCTCGGGCCTCAGCTCTTGAGATTTGAGGGTCAGTTGGCATGATCGAGACGTCTCTCCTTTGCGAATTGAACTCACCAAGCTGCTCTTTGCGGACGACGTCCAAAACCCAGTCTCTGATGCAGCAGAAAGTTGCCTCCATGTCTCTCTGTATGGAAGTGTCCAGAATCTGCTTGCTGTTCTTGTTGAATGCCGAGATAGCCCTCTTGTAGCGCAAGCTTTCTGCTCGGATCTGCTGTATCTCGGCAGCTTTTTCGCTGATCTCCTTCTGGAGCTGACGAACTTCCAGGTCTTTCTGTTCGATGCTCTCCTTGAGACGAGACTTGCTCAGCCGAGTTTTGAGACAGATCTGATACAGTTCGGTCGCTGCCCTCTTCTCTATCTTGAGCTGCGATTCGACCTGTTCGGCGTATGCTGCCACGTCTGCGCAAGCTTGGCAAACTTCCTCGAGCTGATCGTCTGGTAGCCGAAGCTGTTCGTCTCGGACGCTGCATTCTCTGTATACACATCAGCCTTTGATCGCAGAGCTAGTCTTCCGAAGGGACCCCACTGAAACCGCTCATCTGTTGAGCACGATCCGTCAGGCTGCGTTGACTTGCTCAGTCTACTCAGGATACCAAGGAAGGGGGGTGACATCGTCTCGGTAGAGATCAAGGGGAAAGCAACTTCCAAGTGGTGCTTTGAGTAAGATAGGTGAGCGAATTGGTGCAAGAAGTCCAGGTGACTTTGTGACAGGGGTACGCTTTGACACGACTTGAACTGTATGACGGGACCTTGAAGCAAGAGGCCAATCCAGTGTGACTTTTTATGTCTGCCAGTAAGTGAGAGCGCGTTGTGTGGAGAAAGTGAGATAGCAGTGTTACACAGAGCAGGATTGGCTTCCTAGAAATGCTCGGCGGGTCGATAGACAATTTTGTTCACAAGGTGATTTGAGGCTCGGCAGGTGAAGGCTGAGCGTCCTCGAAATCGCTTTCACTAGCGCTTGCAGGTGATCCGCTCCAGTATACAATCACGATCACACATTGCGTTGTATCCACCTCCATTCCATCTGACTCATCACCTGTTCTCTGCTTCACATCCTTCTCCTCTATCCTTCTCCTCTATCCTTCTCCTCTATCCTTCTCCTCTATCCTTCTCCTCTATCCTTCTTCTCTATCCTTCTTCTCTATCCTTCTCCTCTATCCTTCCATCTACTGTCCAACCTTCCACCTAGTCTTGTCGACCCGATCTGTGTGCTGGCCGCACTTGACATCAGACAGAGCTGTCTGCGTCTCGAGGCTGCCATGATGCAACCTTCAGACTTGTCTCAAGATCGTTTGATCGTTGGTTTGGACTTTGGAACTACCTTCTCCGGTTGTGCCTTCACCTACGGTGGCAGCCAGGAGACTGCTGATGAGATTGAAGTCATCACAAAGTAAGTTCCAAAAGCATTTCGCAGTCCACATGATGACGGACTGATGTAGTTGGCCTGGATCAAACAACATCACTTCCGAAAAGGTTCCGTCCGAACTGATGTACGAGTCGGCACCATCTGGTGCTGGAGTGAAGCGTACATCCTCTGGCGATCCGATCATCGCCAAGAGTCCACGCTGGGGCTTCCAGATCAAGCCGAACGAATCCCGCCTGCGTTGCATGAAGCTCCTTCTCGACCGTCACCAGAAGTTCCCTTCTTACGTTTCCAGACAAGATCTTGGCAACTTGCTCGTGCACTGGGACAAGTCAGCGGAACAAGCTGTGTCTGACTATCTGACTGCACTCTACAGTCATGTGAAGAAAAGGTTTGAGAAACGTTTCCCTTTGATGGTAGCAACCACGCAGATCGACATTGTGATCACAGTGCCAGCCGTCTGGTCCGACGCAGCCAAGGATGCGACCATGAGAGCAGCCACGAACGCAGGAATGGGAACAAACCTGTTCATGGTCTCCGAGCCGGAGGCTGCCGCTATCTACGCTATCAAGTCCATCGACATTCAGAAGAAGCTTTGCATGGCAGGCGACAACTTTATCGTTTGTGATTGCGGCGGAGGCACTGTCGATTTGGCCTCGTAAATCTTGTCCCTGAAACTGCTCTTGCTTCGAAATCACTGACAATCTTCTTCTCAGGTTCGAGGTTTCTTCCGTCTCTCCACTGCGCTTGAAAGAGTCGGCCCCGGGCATTGGAGCACTCTGCGGCAGTGTGTTCCTCAACTTGAAGTTCCAGGATCTGGTCAGGCGTCGGATGGGAGCAGAAGAGTTTCAGACATTCTGCCGCAAAAGTCCATCTGCTTGGACTGTCGCACACAAGTACTTTGAGGACTACGTCAAGCGTAACTTCGACCCAATGGATTCTGAAGCCGAGTCTGACGACAGCCAGTTCCATGTTCCATTTCCAGGCGTGCCAGATAATCTTGCGGCTGGCATCGTTGGGTCATTCATCACTCTTACCAACGCCGACGTTTCGGAGATCTTTCGTCCGCTTGTCGACAAGGTGATCGTGCTGATAGAAAGGCAACGCAACGTGCTTGCTGCTCACGACAAAAGTGCAAAGGGCCTTATCCTGGTCGGGGGATTTGGCGCTTCGAACTATCTGTATCGATGCTTGAAGACACGCTTCGCCGACGAGGATCCTCCGCCCACCTACACTCCTTCAGCCCAGCAGTCGGAGCCGGCGATCGAGGAGGGCCCAAGATTCATCATCATGCAGCCCGAACACTCTTGGACGGCGGTGGTCAGAGGCGCTGTCTTGGCAGGACGTGATAAAGACCTTGTGGTCAGCAGAAAAGCAAGACGCCACTACGGAGTACTCTGCAGTGAAGAGTGGGATCCTTCGAGACATTCGCTCAAGAATCGGTCCACATCTCGTATCACCAAAGAGCTCAGAGCAACGAACCAGATAAACTGGTACGTGGTACGAGGACAGAATATGCCAAGCGATGAGCCAGTCTTGATCGAGATGACCGAAGACTTCTTGCCATGCGAACGACAGGGATCTGCAAGTAGCGTCGAGATCATTGTCAGTGACGCAGAGGTGCCTCCCCAAGAGTATGAGCCGACCACCGATACACGCATTCTGTGCACACTTAGTACGGATCCGAAGCCCATTCCCGCAAAGTACTACAAGAAACGAGTGGCACACGGCCAGACATACTTCTGTCTTGGACAACAATTTGGCATGACTTTCAACGGACGTTTGGTATTCGACCAGAGAATCGATGGCACAATCTACAGCAGTGTTCAAGCAGTCTACACCTGAAGTGCAAGTCTAAGATACAAACGCTTGCCGTGAGCTTGTGTACAAGCGGAGACTGATATCTGACTATGTCAAGCTGCGCTGCTATCATCAAGCAGACGGTGACGAACAAAGAGGTCGTTTTGGCCAGAATCGAGGCTGTCAGGGCGGACAGAACAAGGAGATTTATCACTTAACCGGAAAGGCGTTTGCGCCATGGCAGTATTGGATGCAGAAAAAGCAAGACGGACGGCTGACACGATGAGTTCACGGTCTTATCTAAACAGAGCGTGATTCATATAGGAAAACAAAACCCGACTGATCTTTTGTTCATCAGATAGCGAAGTGACATCAACGATGAAATGGTCAATAGGAGAATGCATCAGAGTCTCGCAATGCTCATGTCGCCAGCGCGACAGCTTGCCCTGATTGACGGCTATCATTGCATTCTTCAAGAAACCCTTGCTCTCATCATGGCTGCGCTCTTGACATTGCTGTTTTTTTTTTTAAGGTAATTGGAACCTTGCTAGTGGAATACTCTAGTTGGGCAGGTCTCGATCCGGATTCTTTACCCTTGTTGGTGGGTTTGACGTGACAAGAACACAGGACGATCTTTGCCATCGAGTCGTTCATTACCATGAATGTGTCTTGACCGGTGATTAATGGGTCAATCAGACTCTACAGTCTCAGGCAGTCCATTCTCGATTGATTCTTGTGTCGTTATCTGCATCGATGGTTGAAGGACCGGGATGCTGCATTCAGTCTCTGCTCCCGCTAACGATCTCACAGGCTTCCAGCTCTCGCTAAAGAAGACGGCACTTACATGAGATGAGGTCTAGATCCAGCGTAAAAGAGTTCCTACGATTTGACTTTGCCATACTTTCGTGTGCGCTTGTCGATTTATTCCTCACTGCGATCGTGACTGGGATAGATGAAGTCGATCGCATATGCTGCTGCTGCGCAACGTGGATCTCCGGCAGTCCAAGCTTCCACAGTCAGTCGTGAGCAGATGACTCAGCCCTCCGATCTGGGGGTAAGCCAGTCATCTAAGCAAAAAACACCCAATCACCGTCTGGGGCTGGTCTATATATCTTACCATGGGAATGTGCAACGGAATCGACGACAGGTCTACATCAGCAAGCCGCGCGCAGATCTTGTGCACGCTAAACTTCGGCTGCTTCGCCAATTAGAGCTCTAGAAGCATTTCATGGAACAGAGGATGACTGTCACCACGCATAGGTACTGTCTGGCTCTTTTCACCGCCTGAATCATCTAATTACGAGCACCGCCGGACAAAGATGTCTAAGTTCGGGGGCGCTGACCGTGGACGAGTCGATATGATGCAGCGCATACGTTTGTAAAAGCTGTTATATGAGCTCAAAAAATGACTACCGTTGAAGTCAACCTAGTTGCAAGTGGTTCGTCAGTCCACTCGAATTTCGACTTGGATTAGATGATAGCCTCGGGCTCCTTCCTGAGCAACATGGTGGCTTTTTCAGTCTCGATCGCGCTGAGCGCGGCTCTGCATAACGTCGGTTTCAACGATTCGCAGTGGACAGACTGTCGAAGATTGTTCTTGTGGATCCCGAAATAGTAAAGAATTCCACCGTTGCCACTATGGAGGCGGGCAGCTTGTCTGATTACCATCCTCGACTTCAAACACTTCAAGGTTCTCATTGGATCTCGTTGTCAGAATACCATCCTCGACACCTTCACGGCAAATTCGGTCGAGCTGGTTGCCGCTGGAAGCATTGGATTGGCCGCGTCGATTGTCGAAAAATGGTCTTGATCGTCTGTCCATTGCGTAGTGAGATTATCCTTGTCAGCTTGGGTCAGCAGTTGATTGAGTCGTCGATAAACCATTCTCTGCCAATGCTTTCATAGAACTCCTCATCTGAAGGATGATTACCCTCATTCAGTTGGACGGGTATCTGTGTACGAGCTTCACGAGATCGCAAGAAGTGCAGGACGAGATAACGAGAAGGTACATCAGCGCCTGAGAATACCCCAAGATAGAACAACCTGAGTATGGAGCTAAGCATATCGATGAAGATTGCATCGTACATGCGCCTGAGGCCTTCTCGGTAGAGACTAAAGATCTTGCTCATCCCAAGGAAGGTCTGCACGACCTCGAGAGCGGCTGTCTATCTTGATCATCAACAATGTCTCCGAATCATCGACAATGGGGCAGATGACTGGACATCAGTTTGAACGGTGGAGATGGACTGTGCATTTTCGTCCTTCTCACGACGCCGACTTGCTCATGTGAGAAAAGAACCTTGTACAGGAGCTGAGGTCCAGGTGAGCTATAGTCCGAGTCATGAGATCCGGGAAATTGTTGCTGAATTGATCGTCCGCGAGTCCATCGAGCCGCTAATTGAGTGAGACTGTACAATCGTGTCGTGTCCTCTACTAGGGGCTGCCGCAAGCGCACTGCCATTTCCTACTTCGGGAGTTGCGATTAGTACCTGTATTGAACAGCATCTGCACTATCCTGTCATGATCCTCATATGCAGTCGCTTGAGTACGCCACTAAGGCGTTTCTGGCGGATGATCAGGGGATTTTCTTCGAGCAAGACTTGAATGATCTCGTCGTAGTCAGAATACGGAGCTGATCTTTTATCGAGAAGTCCTCATAGCTGTCTTCGCGCTCAGCGAGGCCACCTGCTCGTATGATGCGATCCATGTCGTCAAGATGTTGTCGCGCATACTCTTGTAGCGTAAAGCGTCCTCGTTCTTGTAGTACGTCCTTCCACGTTTTGTCGTAGTGCTTGATGTATGATGGTACGCTGATGTTGGTTATTTGTATGTATGTGCCAGCTTGGATAAGAGCCAGAGATAGCCGGTCCAGATCGTCTATATGTGTATCTGCGAGATCTTCAAATATGGTTAGCACGGCTGCTTTTGACCAATCTTCCTTCTCGACGCACCTTCCAGTTTTTTACAAGCATTTCCCTCTGGTACACTTCGTGCTTGTGCATCGTGAACGCGACTGAGGTGCGAGTCTGCCTCGAACATGTTCACTATCGACACTATACCCCGGTGACAACGGCCAATGTGATCGCACCGCTCTATTCCGCAAGCTTCTCATCGGAGTTGGTCGATGGCTTGGTCTTTTCAAATTTTGAAGCCGGTCGGGTCAATCGCACAAGTCATGCATCAAGAAGGAAAACAAAGCCCACCATGATACTCGAGGGGATTCGTCATTTGTGTAAATTGATACATACCTTGTGCCGTCTGTAGTACTTCCAATACCCGTCGATAGAGCGCTCGAAGACTTTGTTATCGTCATGGCTAGTCCAGAGACTCTAGAACTTGAGATAACGGTGTTCCAAAAGACCAGCTGCGTCAGGTCGTTCGTCGGCCTCCAATGCTAGACAAGACTCAGCGAAGTCAAGGCCGTCTGCACCAAGCTTGTCAGTGAGCCCATTCTTGAACTCACGTTGAATCTTAGTGTAGAAGCTGGCTTCCACTTTCGCCAATGCCTCAAGCTCGGCACGCCATTCTTCTTGTCCTGCTAGAGACTGCCAACCCAATGTCGCGAGGATGGCGAGCATCTGAATCTTGTCCGCAGTAGGCAACGTAGGAAGCTCTTCCTTACCTTCGTCATCACTGAGATCTGGATGATCCCCAAAGATTTTGTACTGCAGAGCTAGCGTCAGAGCCGGAAAGCAGAATGCCGGAGCAGCTTTGACGATGAACGTAAGGACACAGCCGATACCCCACACGTCAAGAGCGTGATAGCATTTGCCTTTGTACTTGAGACGCTCTGGGGCCATATAGTACGGGGTGCCGCCAAAAACATCCTGCCGATCATGTCAGTCACCACCGAGCACGTTGGAGCAATCCAAGCATCCACAGCGCTGGTGCAATCACCCAGGCCCAGCTCCACTACACTACCGAAGTCTGCAAGCTTTAGGGTGTTGGTTCTCTTGTCGACGAGGATGTTCTAGGGCTTGAGATCACCATGAACTATGCCCTCTCCGTGGATGAATCTAGTAGCGAGACAGAGCTGGCGAAGAAAGCTGGCGATTCCCGGCTTGGAGAGAAGACCTGCAGCCTCGGCGATGAAGGTTGTAAAGTCGCAATCAAGCTTTTCCATGCAGATGTTCGTCATAATCAGGTTGGGCGTTGAGCCTCCGGCGTGGTCATGGTAGTGCTCGACGATGTGCTTATGCTTAAGGCGTTTCATGATATCTGCCTCGTAAGTTGACACCGCCTCGATGTACCCTTCCAAGGTCAGAGTGGCATGTTTTTTCTGCACTTTTCGCCACTCTGCTTTCGCTATGGCCCGGTCCAGGACCAAGACCTTTACGACAACGACACGGGCTTTGTCGACGCCTTGAGTGTCCACGTTGACGTTGTTTCGGCGACACCTCCAGATGCTCGAGTTCTAGGCTAGTGTGTGGAGTCAGTATTCAGCTTCTGAGCAGCTTCAGACAGGCTGAGCTTACTGTGACCAATTGGTTCCTCATCGATCGGCTCGTAGTTGTTAGAAGGACGTTGCCACGGCATGCTGGCGTCGGATGTTGGGGCAGACGCCGAGGAAGATTGCTTCGGAGAATCCGAGTTGGTTTCGAGGGCTAAAGTTGGAGAAGGCATGTTGACCTGCGTAGAGTGTGGGCGCTCGAGGTGCTTGTCGGGTTCGCGTTGGTGTATAAGGGCGGAAGGTTGTGTGGCCCCTCGCATTTAGTGAAATTGCTTTAGATCCGCAGAGTGGTAATCGAGGGGACGGTTAAAGACTCGATTGGAGTGTTTGTTTACGGAGTCGAGGGCGTGGACGATGCTAAGGACGAGCGAGCGAGCGATGTCGTATGCTGGAAGAAGCATAGGTGAGCACGCGTCGTGGTCTACAAAGTGGTCGACGCTGTGAGTGCGGTGGCGGAAGAAGTTTGTGGTTAGTGTCGAAGTGTTCGACATAGCGCGAGCCACAGTGTGAGTCGAACTTGGTCTAGCACAAGAGTGAAGCGACGGATGGAGTTGGAGCCCGCTTCACTACTCGAGTTTGCTTGCAGAAGCTGACCACACGGGTACTTATACGCGTGATCGAACACACGCCTTTGGCTTCGTGGAGAAGACGAGAGGACAAGAGAATGAGAGGATGAGAAGACGATAGGACGAGAAGAGCCTTGTGGTGGACTCTGACCGATGGACCTCGGTGTAAAAGCAGTGCCAATTCGCATGCCGGCCCGTCGTGATCGTGCAGCAGGTGGTGCTATTACACACCTCGGCGGAGGAACAAGACTTGAGGTGAGATTTTCGCGAATGTGCTCGACAGCGGCTTGCGAAGGAAGATTAGTGTACTTTCTCCACCAACGAGAGAGGAAACAGGTGGTAGAGGACTGACTCACACTATAAACTCGCGGCAAGGTGAACATCAGATGAAAAAAAGCAGGGTCATGATGACAATTTTATGGGAAAGACTTGACTTGCGTGGCGAGCTTTTAATGAACGTATGCTGCCTCTGTGCTTGAGAACAGAAAAAGAGGACGGTGATATGCCGGCAGCCATGCATTTGTATGCATGCGACTACGCGCAGCATGGCAGGCTCCTATCCGGAAGCCATTCTTCCAGCTTGAGATGCAAGATCCTCCATCTTGTATTGCGACACAGTCCAAAGTCGGTCGAGGCCTGCTAAGTCCGATGGCTGAGTGTTCGTCTACAACATTGCACACTAGAGCCAGAGGTGCAGGCTGACAGTTGGCAGGTTAGACCATCTCAAAGAACCAGATGTATTGCGATTCGATGTTGTATCGTGGCATGGAGGCGGAGAAGGACGACGTGGACCAAAACAGTGCCAAGGCAGGTTCGGCCCGTGCATGACCAGACCCACATTTGCACGAAATACACGTGTGGGGCTGCGCACTGGCCACCAGCCTCCCGTCAGCTTCCGTTTGTCGCGTTCTCCTACGGTCTAAACCACCATCGCCATGCTCTGCAAGTCAGTCTTGTGGTAAAGATCAGAGGATCCTATCGCGTTCGGCACACCGTTTGCATCCTCACTCGATCTCTCCACTTCAGCATCTGGGTCGACACTTGGTGTCACCTTGCGAGCAATGCTTGATCGTTGTTCAGATAGCCTGCTGACAAAGAAACAAACACAATTTCATACTCTCAAAGCGTGGCGCTTGCACAGATAGTCTTATTGCAGTCGTAAGCACAGAGATTTGGAGGATTGACTACGAATTATCAAATGTTTCGATGGTGTTGCCCAGATTTCCTTAGGTTAGACCTTGCTTTCATAGGCTCGAGCATCTAGATGCAGTGTCGGGGTCTGATGGAAGTTATTCAGTCACGATAGAGTATTAGACAAATTAAGACATTGAGGCTATCGTCTCAATGCAATCGGAATGGACGGCTAAGCTCTAATTCTGTTATGTTCGACATCCTCAGGCCACCAAGCAATCTAACCTTCGAAAGATACACAAACGACGTCACGTCTGTTGCGACGTTCTAGACCCCTTCCAGAAAGTCTGGAGACGGAGTTTCTTGGGGATTTCTCATTCTCCGGCACTCATCTGTGTGGTCGCCTTCTTTTACCACACTTCGATGCAGAGCATCCTCTCGCTGCATTTCAGTCTAAAACCCCTGACATTCCACAGAATTGCAGCGACAACGGAGGCGATTATCGCTCTCGAGATCTCGCTCGAATGTGCGGTCCCGAGCGTGGCCAAGTGTGCTTATGAATCCTGCTCGAGTTGAGTAACGCCATCACGGGTCTTCGGCGAATCTGCGTATTGTCCCCCTCCGTAGAACATGTTGAAACATGTACGAAGGCACCATGAACTTGACTCAAAGATGATTACCAGGTATAAAGTGAGAATTCGACCTCCCAGAGAGGCGAGCTGACTAGATTTCCCCGACTTGTTATGCGTACCACGGTTCCTCGATGATCATCATGAGACTCAAAGATTCTTTGCTCGAATGGTGTCTTGAAGGCTGCAGACTTCTGCCATTATCAAGGGGTTCTTTAGTATAAACTCAGTCTCTCCTAGCCCGCTTCTTCTCGAACCCTACTCTTCACCGGTGTAGCACACAACTTCACCGATGGTTTGGCAGTCAAAACGCTTAAATCTAATGTTAGCTGCTGGCTTTGAGCCATGCTTCTAAGCTCGAGAGTAGTCGTCGAATTGAACTTGGGCAAGATCCAATTGATGGTTAGACCGTCGACAGCAGCTTTGGATTCTACACATGAACTCTAATCAGGCTAGACTGTGGTCAGCTTGATCGGTCATGAGATCCCCCTTGATGATATGTGCATAGTTTTCCTAGCGTCTTGTCCATCACATAGAACTCTATCTTGTTCCCTCTGTATTGGACAATGAAGTCTTGATTGTGTCAACAGACGTACGTCGAGACAATGGCTGCAGTATTACAATTGAAGCACTCGATGGCACATTTAGGCTCACACAACACACAGCTACCGACCTCTTCGGTATGTCTACACGAGTTGTATCATTCAAACACAGGATCTCGGTCCCGGACTCGACCGGATCACGGTCCACTTTGCATTCGCGACAGCGCTCGGTGTGTAGTGAGAAAGAGCTCAGACTATGCTAAGCGTGGGACTTTCGAGATCTGCACCACCAGAAGTCAGCGTCGTGTAGTAGAAGAAGATACAGCGGGACACTGGTTCCCTATCGCTCATTCAAGAACTCGGGAAGCGAGCAAGACGTGGTCGAATAATTCAGATCCAGCGTCTCCCACCCGAAGACGCAGATGCACCTTTGATCGGGCTTCGCAGAGAGTCTCAGACTGGGGCGATATAAGGAGCGCAATGTCAAGCTTACGCACAGAAACAGCATGACGCACACCACAGACGAGGTGACTGATGGATACCGTCAAGTGTGTGTTTCATTGAGAGGCGAGAGGCGCTGCAATTGTTGCGCATGATGCGGCCAGGAGGCCAAGTAAAAATGCTCGTGACGCAATACCCGGAAAGAGATGGGTGCCGTGTGCCATCAGTTAGAGCGTTTGCGAACAGACTGAGCAAGGGCAGATTGGTCTCGTCTGACCTTTATAATCAAAGTTCGAATGGGGATGTGACCGTTCGAAAAGCTCTTGGTTACCATCACTACTGGAACGCGTCATTGATTCAACCCATGGAAGGTTGTCACGACAACATGTATCTTTCAAGAAAAAGACTTGTCGAGATCTAGTTTTGAAAGCGCCTATCACAGCTCAAGAAAGAGATCGGCGTAGCTCAACTTGTTTCGGATTGAGAATTCTAAGACTGCGTGTCGTACATTAGGAGCGTTGGTGTATAAATTACAATCATCGTGGAGTATGCTCAAACCAGGCAAAATGGAGATACCATACACCAGAGCTTACGGATACGTCTCTGTAGACTAATTCGCTATCAAGACCCAGGAAGAGCTTTTTGACGTAATTTACAGGGCTCTTCGGACACTCAAAGTGCGATCGAATCTGACAAGCGGTATTCCCTCCAGATCCCTCTTGTGATCTCGAGGAATGTTTCCAAGGCTGTAAAATACGGAAACGCCAGAGATGTAACAAAACATCTCGATCGTTATCACATGATACAGGACATATAGCCACGACTATAAAGCCACACGTCAGGCATGCAAATCTGGATTCGTATCGACATCTTAGAGCGACTTCACGTTCCCATTCATTCCAGCGAAACGATGTTCGGCACAATCTTCGAACATGACGCCGAGTACGTGTATGACAACCTTGTCCGGTAGAGAAAAGGCTAAGAAAGTGATAGGTCAATTGGACAAGAGTCGTGTCCTACACAGACTCCCATCGAATTCGAATCATACAACAAGATAGTGAACGGCTCCACGTCCTCTTCTAGTGTGTCAATCACTAGCAAGAATGAGCTGGTTACTTTTGACGTCTCGGCCGTAGAGTGCGACGCCGACATTGTTTTCGCCGACCAGAGAAATGTGATTGGACACTACAGACCTCTTGAAATTGTCGACAAGTAGATCCAGGAATGTCGTGTCTGATATGGGAGGTTGCAGATCTTCATGTTTTACTGTGATGGACGAAGGACCCTGCAGTCAGATCAAGCTGTTGTTCCTTGGTGATCCAAGATCACATAGATGGTACACACTGCAGAATTTCCAAGGAGGCTTTTGATCTTCACTCGCTATTGTGCGCAATGAGCAATACTAGTGGCAGTGAATATATGTATATGCGGTCGTAAGCGCTTTCATGAGCCCAGGGCAGTGATGACACAACTTCTACTTGCTAACATTCTCGAGCTTTATATGCGCCATCCGTAGGTATGAGCAGTTGAATGGTGTCCAAAATCGATTTCATAACTGGTTTTGACTTTTTGATAATTATCTGCACGTTTTACGAGTGGAACGATAGTATATGAGAGGTCTCTACATGTTCAGCTAACCATTCTTGTAGATCGAGTTATTATACTGTCTCATCTCCCCTGACTAATCACCAGATGCAACTCTGCTTACCACTGTGCTCTACTTCCAGGCAATCCAGAAAATCTCCTCTCGACAGGAAATCTGATCTACCACCATCGACTTTCCGAAATGCGAGACATGTCTCGCAATCAGGCGGTAATCTCATCGTCTTCTTCTTTTGCTGGCTTATGATTGCCTGCCCATACTGCTATGGGAACAATACTCGCCCCACTGAGGCACCCAAGGACTAGTGTGGTAGCTCCCCAACCCATACGTACTCTCAGCAGCCCAGCCAGAAGAGGCCCGATGGCCGACCCAGCCGCGTACGCCATGTTGAACAACGCATATGCTTGCCCATATGAACCACCGGTACGGGGTCCTATTTGGCCTTTCGCATCCATCGAATTCACCGCGTGGACGATGTCTGCCATCAGGGGTATCAGGACAAGTGTCAGCGCCAGGCCGATGATAGCAACCAAACAACAGAGGATGATCTTGTCTTTTGCTGTACCGTCTGTCACGAGGCGAAGCAAGACGAAAGCTAGCGCCGCGAGAGAAGAACCAGCGATGCACGGTAATCTGGCTTGGTAGCGGTCTGCAACCCAGCCGATCAATGGCGATGTAAGTGCGGGTAAGGTGAGGGGAAGGAAGACTAGGCCTGCCCCGAGTGATCCCCAATGGAAACTCTGACGAACCTGCAGTGGAAGGATGGATTCTATGGAGGTAAAAAGCGTAGCCTGGACCAGACAGCCGAAAAGATCCGTAGCGAGGCGGGGGGAGAGGAGAAGAGTCCGCAAAGGCCAGAGATGATCTCTCCAGCTCTTCACATTCGTCACAGTCCCACGATCGTCGGTGCCTGAGGTGGCTGACCTCAAGGACGCGCAGTCGTCCAAGACAGACTTCTGTGCTGGTAATGATGACGACTCCCCTTGCTTTGTCGTGGTAGTGTTGATCTCGTGCGCTGAAACAGACTTCCGGTCGTTGTGTTCCACGACGGCATTTTCAGCTCGCTCCTTTTCGATGACCAGCAGACGGAGTAGCATATCAAGACCTAAAAGCCCAAAGCAGATGAAGAACACAGCGTTATAGCCGACTCTTGAAGTATCGTCAGCATCCTGATGGTGTGCGCACCTGTGTCTCTCGGATGGCAAGAACGTACCTCTCAAAGACCACTCCGCCTACCGCTGGCGCCGCAAGAATAGCTAGTCCGGTTGCATCTCCCATGAACCCCATGAAGCGACCGATCTGATCCGGATCAACACTATCTGCCAGAAGGGCGGGTCCTGCCACCCAAACTACTGCAGCGCTAACACCTTGCAGTGTCCTTGCAACAATGATGAGTACAAGACTCTTTGCTGCAAGTAGTAGTGCTGTAGCTGCACTCAGTGCAACGAGACCAATGAGCAGAAAGGTACGGCGTGAGCGAATACGGTCCGTGGCCCAACCGCAGACTGGCGATGCGCAAAACATTGCAGCACCGTAAACAGCCAACAAGACAGATAGCCACGTTTGCACTTCTGTTGTCTCTAGACCCACCCTAGACGTCAAAGCAAAAGGAATGACGGGAATAATGACGCCGTAAAGGAAGATATCAGTGAACACGGCAAGTGAGACCGTCAATGTGATGGATCCGATAGAACTTCGAAGACGGACGCACGCGGGTAGGTCGCAACCCTCAAGTTCCAATGAGTCTGACATGGAGGTAAAACCTGCGCTTATTCACGATTCAACTAAGATGCCTTTTGGACTCGAATAGTGGCTTCGGGCATAGTTTAGGTCGAATTGGTCTGCGTTCTTGTTGCGGGACTTGTGGCCTAGAATGCATCAAAAATGGTCGGAGATTTTATGTCTGACACACTAGTGACTTCCTTTTTCTTGAACTTCTTTTACAGTACGATCTGTAGTGTGTTCAATATGCTAAAATGGTGCTTGTGGTAAGCTTAGTACTACATCCGCGTATCTTTGTAAAGCGAGATTTACACAACAAATCGGCGTCGCGGGCCGCTGTTACGAATATTCTCGGTTTTAAAATTCATTAGAATTTGCCACCCCTAACTTCGAACTCGATGCTCAGAGCAGCTACTGACTCGCGCTATTACAACTATACACCACTTACTACGGTTAATCTACACTGTTTACACGTCGATATGGATCAATCTACTGCCTCAAATGCGCTACTAGCAGTAGCAGCTGGTTTTAACGCTCGGCGCACGCGCTCGTAGAGCAGAACTCGCGAATCGAGCCTCTTAGGGCTACCATCCTCGCCAGCTCAACCACTAAGCTATATAGGCTCGAGACGTCGTGTATACTTCGAAGACACTTAAGAGGAGGCTCTTAATGCTTCTACATCTATAACACCTCGATCTACGCGTGGCAAGGCGCTAGCTCGCCTTATAGACGAATAGACGCTCCCTTAAGCCAGCTCGCGCCAGGTTATAGTAAAGCGCTAACCTACTAAACAACGACCATAACCACCTTCTAATAAGGCATCCGCCGCTCGGAAGCCTCTTTCTAACGTAACAAACACGTTAGGAAAAAAACGCATGTCAAATACCTTAAGGAAGACCAAGATATAGGCCCTTACGCCTTAGGTTTAACCCGTAAAGCCTTCTACTAGCTTAGCGCTAATAAGCCGTCGTTTAACCACAACTACTAATAAAGTCACTAAAGTAAGCAAGGTCACTTAGAAGGCTATAGGGACCCTCCACGCACGTAAAGTATTATTAAATTTAGCTCCTACTACTACTACTTCGCCTATCGTCGCTATCGTACCGTTTAAGCTATTATACGACACTCGCTAGAACCACGAGAAGCTATCTAACGCTAATACCACCCTTGCTAGTAGCAATAAGCCATGGTTAGAAGTTTTTTAAGAGCTAAATAACACCGCTATCCCTATATTAGAGGGTCGTCGGATAGCTATCTTCTATATATGGAAGGCTAGAGCTATTATAGCTTTAACTAGTGCTTACGGTGTCCGTTAGACTAAAGTCGTTACTCTACTAAGAGAGGAAGAGGGCGCTAAGCGCTAGAAGAAGGCTATAGATCTCGTCCGCTTTAATAGCTAGAGCGGCATAAAGGAACTCTCTATTACTATTAAGTCAATATGGACTCCTAATGGCTTAGAGCTAGCAGCTAAACTACCGCTAGCGTATGAAGCCTTAACGGCTTAGTCTTAGCCTTAGCAATCCAGTTAAAACCGTCATCGCCGCTTAGAGCGCTTAGAAGCCGCTACTAATCGGTATATAGATAACCGAGCGCTGTTTTAGAGTAGTATTTAAGACTACTAGAATTATAAGGACCCTCTACGCTATCCTATTAAAGCGCGCTATAGCCTTGCTTGCTTTATTAGCTATAGCTACTACTATAAGGTGATCTTCTACGTAGCTTAGCACTAGCGAGAAGCAGTTTAACATGGCGAGGGCACTCTAAAGACGCCCTCTCGTCGTATACGAGAGCTAATTATACGTAGCTATAAGAAGCATAAGTAAGAGCTTACTAAGCGAGCCTCTCGAGCTACTATATTAAAGCCTTAGTCCTTCCCTTTAAACTAGTTAACTATTAACCACTTCTATGTTAGCTAGACTTAGCCTTAAGAGCTACTAGCTACGTAGCTAGCTACTTAGCTAACTGTTTAGCTAGCTACGGCTGCTACTACTCCTCGGCAGCTATCGCTAGTGCTACCTAAGCTTAATACTGCTACTAGCTAGGAGAGCTTTTAGGACCATATAAAGCTAGCTTATTCCAACTAGTCAATTTAGCTTAATAGAGCTCGTGTAGCTCTTAAAACTGACTGTTAGGACCTCCGGCTGCTATTTAATAGTAACGAGAGGCAGCTAGCTCGAGTAGTCGAGTAAGGTGGCTTACGTATAGTAATCCTTAAGGAATTAACCAAGTTTATCGACTAATACAAGTAATAACGACGAACTAGCGCCCCCTCTATTACCTTAATACCCTTAGATTTAGCAAGCTCGCCGTATAGCGCATTCAGCGCCAGCAATTAGATGGTAGGCACTCGGCTTCTAACGAATAGATTACTTATACTAACATCATCCATGGCCCACGTATACGCCTTCTCGAGGTGCTTAATCTATGCCGCTTTATAAGCTTTCGCCTTATCAAATTTGTTAACTCGCGGCGCTAGATCTCTATGCTTACGTAGCTAGTGCTTTAAGAGGTAGAAGGTCTATTCTATAGGGTTTAGATGTGGTAAATAAGGCGGCAGATATAGCAGTTGTACGCTAAACTAGCTATAGAGCTCTATAATCTATTAACGTTAGTACGTATTTAGCAAGTACTATAGGTAATTACCTTATCTAAGTGGTACGTTAAGTAGTTATCTATAATAATTATCGACCTCCTTCCTGGATATGGCTCGCTCTGAGGCAATACTACTGTCTCTAGCCAGTGCTCGTATATAGCTTACGTTACTGCTCCCTTAACGATAAGGGTAGCCCTAGGGAGGTATCTATAGATATCTAGAGCTAGTAGTATAGAGCATCGAACCTTTAACAATAGCTCTAACCTTATATATGCAGGTAGGCTAATTGCTAACTATAAGCGCCGTCGAAACATCACCTTCTCGGAGGCTACGGATTTATTAAGGTATAGTAATATCTCTAAGGCTTTAATGTTAGCTTCGTGGCTTCGAGCCATGAGCTGAGCAAGCGTCTCCTCGTATACGCCTTATTTAATAGTAGAGCGACGACTAGTAATACGAGTATTAACCTTACTTAATAGCCTCTCTTCTTTAAGCATGCGGTATATTGTCGATTTTAATACTTCTACATCGAATTCGCACCATAATTTAAAGGCTAGTTCCTCCTACTAGAGGTCGTTCCTATACGTAAGCAGTTCTATGGCATACTGGCGTACTATTAGTGTTAACTTACGTCGACGGCCTCGCTGCTTAATAGCAGTAGAAGGCTTCTATACGTGGCTAGCGGCTTTAAAGTTACGCTACATCTAGTAGAGCGTACTCCGAGTAGCATAAGGAACTACTTTAGGTACTATATTAACGTCGCAGTCGTCGCGGAACATGGCCTTAACTAGTGTTTTATCGTGGTCGCTAAGAGGCATTAAGCTAAGCTAGTTTACTACTATACTGCGCATTAGCGAGGGCTCTAGGAGGCTTTAAAACTAGTGTATATTAATAGAACAACAACGTATAGCTATTACTATAGCTATTAGAGCTTGTAGAGCTGTATATAGCTATATAATTGATGAATTAGCAGGTAATTAGCTGCTCTAAGCATCGAGTTCGAAGTTGGGGGTGGCAAATTCTAATGAATTTTGAAACCGAGAATAGTAGTGCCACGCCATTGCCCGAGATCGATCCTTAGTCTGGGTGATCGAAGCTGCTGCCAGTAATTTTCGAACAAAATTGCACACTGCTTATTTCTTACGTGCAGCTCGAATAGCGTCAATGCATGCTACGTCATCGCGACCTTGAGGGGTCAGTAATGCTCGTTAGCTAGACACGTATATACACTCTATATATTCGTCGTGCAGAATCACTCTACCAAAGTTCAACAATCTTCTAAGGTCCGGAAAGCTCAAAGGTTGGCCATAGTAATTGGATCTCTTTTCGATTTTGGTTAGATAAACGATTTGTAATTAGGTAATACTACAGTTTGTTCGAATCCCTCGTCAGCTATTGTGCTTTACGAAACCACTCGGACCAAGAAATCCGAGGATCAGTTGGTTCGAAATTCGAGAGGCTTCAGATCACGAACGCGATTTTTGACACTTGTCGATGTAGCACCCAGACGTCACGGAAGGTAGCATATAGCCCACATCATCAGATAACTAGACAGATAGTGCGCTTTCGAAGTGCATCATTTCTAGATTATGAGAGCAGGGCCCTATCACGTTATCGACAGTCAAACACCAAAATCTACACTTTTCGATGTTTTGTCAAGTTTTGACAAATTCTTTGATACTCTGTCTTGCAAGAAAAAAACCTGGGATTCGAATATCAACTTTACGGCGATTACGTCCTCAAGTCTAAGATCGATACGCTTAGAAAGGGTGTGATTAGCATAGTGATCATGCGTATCTGTAACATGCATAGAGTGTTGGCGCGGGCATACTACGTGGATGAAAAACTGTCGAGACGTTCGCAGTGATCCGCTCAAATTTTAAACCAACCGAGCCTCGGATTTCTTGGTCCGAGTGGTTTCGCAAAGGGCAGAACGATCGCGCGCACGCAATCTGCATCGGACTCACTTGACAGAACAACACTCCTCTCACATGCTACACAACACGACGCTGATGATAGATGAGTTCATGAGTTCATGAGTTTACTTGTCACAGTCGCAGTCGCAGTCGCATTTTGGTTGCCTAGTGTGCCCAAGCTCGTGTCCCTGCACCGTTGATCTAATGAAACGCAGTGAATCAAGTATTGAATGCTCTCGCCACCGTGACTCTACCATGCTAGGCCACTCGCAGAAAACATATTCGGATCACGACAGAACGTCTTTGATCGTGCACGTGCTGTCCAGAACTCATAGTGAATCTGCCCAATACATGCTTCGTCTGCTCGACAATCTCGTGATCGCTTATCGCAGCGCGTTGTCTTATCGTCAGGTCTTTTCTTGCCCTTCGCTACGTGTTAATGCGCGAAGGATAAATTATTCGTCGGAAGCACGTTTTGATCACACACACGACATGTGGTTGTGCGTTTGTCGTTTTTCGACCATGTAGATTGAGCCGACGCATGTCACTGTGCTTGAGTAGCACCTTCGCGCTGACGACAGCCCATACGGTTTGAGCCAGCGTGAGTATGACTGCCGCTGTTCACTCGCAGCTCATTGCCTCGAGCACCATCTCCTGTCTTCTTATTTTCGGCCTTGAGAGAGACGAGTCTTTGCTACAGCCATTGAGTGGCCATCCGGAGAATTCCAGTTGCGGATGCAGCTACTGTGTATGTAGGATTACGTTCAAAAGGAACGACGCGCGGCAGGTCATGTTGAAACTTTTTTGGACAATGCTGGAGATGAAGATGATGATCACGATGATGATGATCACGATGACAATGATCATGACTATGACGAAAGAGATGATGATGATGACGATGTTGACGATGCTGGCGACGTCAAATACTGTATCTGATCATGATCATCATCGACGTACGAGGACCTCGGGGTTGGACGGCAGGATCGACCACGAAGGTAGGAAGCAAAAAGGCTAATTAACAACGCCTAAGTCGGCCGCCAAAAGCCCCCCGTATCGCTGGAGAACAATTGTCCGATGAGACAGCAACACTTTGGATGGTCGAGTGACAACCTTGTCTCATCGTGGATCAAGCAACAAGGACCATACAAGCATGCGAGCCGGAAGCTTGTATTGTCCACCTGTGGGGACAAACTCGCCGACCTGATCCTCGCACGCAAGCTCTTCGCATACGGCGAATTTAATGACTACTGGGATAATCCCAACTGTATTGGTTGGGTGAGAAAAGGAACACATGATAGAAAGAATGGATGTGCGGTGGTGATGAGCAATACCGGGTCTGGTAAGATAAAGATGTATGTCGGACCTGAGCACAAGGGATGGGTGTGGACGGATTTGCTGGGTTGGGAGCAGGGAGAGGTCACCATTGACGAGGAAGGTAATGGTGTGTTCAACTGTCCGGGCTGCAGTATTGCTGTCTGGGTCAACAAGGATGTAGAGGGTAGAGAGCACTTCCCTGTCAACTTCGACAGCAACATCTACGTGGAGGCTGGCAAGCAGAACGGCGACAAGGAAGAGAAGGAAGACAAGAAGGAATAGAGACCGAATCCATGATGGGTTACAGATGCAGTGAGTCGCATACAATGCCGACACACGAGAAGGACATAGACAGAAAATCACAGACAACCACCCCACGAGATAAATACACAATGACAGAAGCGACATTTTCTCGGATACCAATCATCCCGCTCTCCGACCAATACCCTCAGCAAGACCCACCGAACGTAGCAGAGTCATCTGATTATCCCCTCGCTCCTCAAACCTTGTGGCAGAATGAAGATAGGCATATGGTTCGACATCCTCTTTCAGCAGCGGAGAACGTGGATTGCTTGCATGCTGCGCGAAATGGAAAATGATCGACCGCGTACCTGAAGATCTCGCGCTTCGCTCTCGAAACGGCAAGCTCGGAGATGAGCTTCCGACAACGGTCACCTGCCCTGACCCCGGTGTAGCGTAACGGTGTGACCCAAACAACGCGCCGGGCAACGAAGAAGCAGACATGAGCGTGGGTAAACCATAAGGTGAATCAAAGCGGGTAAGGAGAGACATTGGGGTTAGAGCTGGGGATGGCGACATCAGATGTGATCGTTGATGACCTTCACTGCTCGCCCGTAAGGCTTGGCGAGTGGTCGTACGATCGCGATGCCGACCGATATTGTATGGTCTGGTGTTGGTCGATACTGCGAACTCTGCAACCTTTCGAGAAACCTTCTATCGCGTGTTAGTGCAGCTGCAACCCGCTAAGCACATGGCCATGACCTCGCTAATACTGGGCCATCTTCTTGAGCACCGGAAGGCTAAGAATCTATGGAGAAGGTTGAGGGTGGCCAGAATACTCTCTGCCCAGTCTTGCCGTGACCAATTGGCACAAATTTATTCATCTTTTGACGGGCACGCGCATTTTCGAGACGGCTGAGTGTCGTCGGCAGACGTCTCGGATTCTCCTTAGCATCTATCCAGCTTTTAACAGTCGGCCCCTATGACTGTCACAGATGTTCTCCCTCGTTAGACATGCCAGAGTATTGAAGAGATCTGATGACTCCAAGAAGCATCTCAGTTCAGCTTGCTGAGGAGAAACATCGTCTGACCGCTGCGCAAGAACGACAACAACCATCACGGACCTCAAGAATGACACTGCCAGTCCAGCCACAGGTCCAGCTGCTGAGCTTAGCACAAACTCTCGGACGACGGCATCTCAGTACGATGAATCCTGCAGTGCTTCCAGAAGGGTTTGATTAAACCGTGTCCGTGGGAGCAGTTTGTGGGATACGAGGACAATGCGGACTAGACCAGACGCGGCTCAGCTGTACGCCAGAATGGTATCCGCCAACTGGAAAATGTCTGCAGAACTTTCCTTTTGAGCTAGTCACCAGCTTGGGTGATATCCATGAAGATCCAAGGAGCGACAAGACGTTCCCGGACTGGCATCGACAGACACGTGGGCCTGTCACGCAGCTGCCCGAAAAGACAAAGTATCTTGGACAGATGTCTGACGCTCTGGGCCGAGCAAGATTCCCCCAGGGAGAGACACACTGAAATGTTTCACCGCAGACGACAAGACCCTGAGCCGGAAGTGTAACCACGGAGCATGAGAGGAGATTTCCCCGCGCCTCGGCAAGTCCTTCGTCGGGAACCCCGAATTCTCAATGCATCGCGATCAGAGATTGCGGTCTGGGAAAGCCAAGCTGCTCAACTGCCCAGAGAGTCAAAGAGGAGCTGAAATCCAGCCCTAAGCCCATGTCTCACCCGTGGGGACGGCAGAAAACGGGATAGTCAAGGTCGTTGAGCTTGCGCGACGACCGATCCTGTCGCAAAGTAAGTCTTCTTCAACAATGTCGTTGGACGAACGAAATTGGGTTTGCTTGCAGGGAAAAAATCACTGCCGTCAAAGACGTGTGGTTGGTATTTTCTACATGCTGACAGGCACTCTGCAGGAACAGCAAGAGGCATGCCAATCGGAGAATTCTTTTAGATTTGCTAAGCTTTTGGCCCTAGCACGTTTTGGGCATCGCGTAAGGATTCGATCACGGGGGGATCGCGCTTTCCCCTCGTTCGAAGTGACCGACCTTGATTCTTTCTCCGGCTTCTGCTCTCACCCCGTACCCACCAAGCCTCTCCGAGCCCCTTGGATCTTCAGCTGCTATCGACCGCGCCTTTGTAGGAAATGGTGAGCTTAACCTTTGCCTTAGATGCCTCGTGGCGTTCGACAGAGCGCATTCCAGTGCTCGGCCAGACCGAAACTCCTGCTATACCAGAGCCTCCATGAGAAGATGCCGTGGTATATAAGTTAGGAGGACTGCGGACAGTATATCTCAGATTCAATCTCATCTCTCATTCCGATCCAATACCATCTTCAACATCAAAATGCGTTTCTCATCCTATGCTCTTCCCGCTTTGGCGGCCAACTTGGCCGCTGCCATGCCCAAGCCTCAGGACATCGATCTTGATATGGTCCTGGCTGCCCCGGACCCGACATACTCCGAAGCTACTGGTGTCACTGCCCAGACCGTCACCGTCAACCCTGAAGCTCTCATTGCTTCGGCCACTGCTGTTATCTCCTCTGTCAGCGTCGAAGTCAGCGATGTTCTGTCTCAGACTGCAATTGCTACCAATGCAAAGAGAGCAGCTGCCACCACTTGTGCTCCTCAACCTTCTGGAGCGACCTCTGCCCCTACTTACGCACCAGCCAACGACAATGTTTCCAACTTCAAGGCAAACACCTACTACTCTTCTGTCGCTGCTGCTGCGCCAACCCCCTCTGGCTACACTCAAGCGTTCCAGGCTCAAGCAGCTTCTAACAACGCGTAAGCTACCAAACTCTTCTCTTCGCCATTGAGTTTCGGACTAACATTCAAACCAGATTCGGTTACATGGGGTGAATTGGCATCATCTTTTGTTCGCAACCAAGTCTCAAGCTAATCCACGCTAGGTTTGACACATTCGACACTTACGACGTCAACACTTGCGCACAGCGATGCACTGCCAAGTACGGCTGTGTCTCTTTCAACATGTACTTCGAACGTGACCCATCTGGTAATCGATTGACCCACTTCCTTCTGTCCAGATCACAGCTAATTCTGGCTAGTCAACCCTGATGATTCATCCTGCTCGAATCCTTCCTCGGTTACCATGATCAAGGTGAATTTCATCTCTGCGATTCCTTGTTGACGTGAGACTGACAAGAACAGTGCGTGTACTGGGGTGGTCAGGTTACTCAGGACAATGCTCAGAACTCTGGCCAAATGCGCGGCAACTTCCAAGTCGCGATCGCTGGTTCCAACGGATACGTGACTACACAAATCTCAACTCCTGCTGGCTACCAGAACGGTGTTCCCTTCGGCAAGTTCGCTATCAACGCACCTTACGATGCTCAGGGCTACAACACGTACATGGGAGCCAAAATCTTCACCGGAACATGGGATGTCTCACAATGCTCCAAGTTCTGCGATGCTCAGACCAAATACAATCTCGCCACAGCTCCTAAGGACGGCACTCCTGCCAAGGTCTGCAAGTTTTTCAACACTTACCTCCTGCAGGCCAAGTTGGCCAATGGCACAATCGTTCCTCAGGGTCAATACTGCTCGCTGTACACTGAGGCTTGGTCCATCAAATATGCTGTCAACGGCGGTCAATGGAGAGGTCAGGATCAGTACACTGTTGATTACAGCTTCGGTTATGCCAAGACCGACGCTGGTTTCGACCCTACTGTTGGTGATTCTACTGGTGCTGTCTATCAAGCTCGTCAGGACATGACCTATTCTCCCTCATCTTTGACTGCTGTCTTCCAGCCCTTCTGTTCTAGCCTTCTTGGATACAGTGTCCCTATCGCCTCCGCCACAGCTATGACCACCACCACACCTGTAACCACAACTACCGTAGTGTCAACGACAACCACTGCAGCCAACGCAAAGCGCAGCGCCGGATCCTTGTCCACGCCTGCTGTGCTCACCAAATACCCCTCCTCGATTTTCAAGAGCGCTTGCAGCCTCATTGCAACATCCCCCACCGTCACTTCGACTATTACCGTTGCTACATCTACTGTCACTGCTGCGACTCAGACCTCAACTGTAGTTTCTGTGACCACTGTCGCTGCTTCGGGTCTCCTTCGGTGCGATCCTCGTGTTGCATACAGTGGCAGCTTCAACAATGGTGGTTGTGGAGGAAGTTCCAATCCCGGATATGGCTATGGGGGCTGCTTCTGCAATTCAGGTACCGACGGCAATGCTTATTGCGTTGATGACCTAGGCTCTCTGTCAGATTGTAACTCCGATGCTGACTGCCCCTCGGGTGAGTTCTGCGATCTTTCGATTGGTGGCGTGTGCGATTCGGGTTTGTCCTGCTTGTCAAACTATGGCTCTGGATATGTGGCGGCGCGAGGCCTCCCTGGATCGGCCGGCATGCCCAGACTGGATCGCATGGTTCACAAGAGAGCTGTCAAATATGCTGGTCCAAACGCTCTGGCGGTCTTGTCCATGGTTCAAGCAGACTCGCTGCCCACGAGTCTAGCTCAGAGCCAAGCAGCTGTCATGACTAGTATTGCTTCAGGAGCAGCGGCAGCCGCAAGTGCAAGTGCTTCCTCCTAGTGATGCTCCATTGGAGTTCTCAGGGACGGTACAGGATGCGCAGATTAGGGGTCGGAGTTGGTCGTTCATCATTTGTTTGTCGCTTGTCTTATCTCATTAGTGTCTTTTCATATCATCGTTCCCAAATTTCAATATAAATAATAGTTCTACCAAGTTTTGTGACTCATCATTACCAATTTGCTTATGCGAAGAGTGACGCGAGTCAGATAGAGGATTACAATAGTATCCAAGATGTACTCGCTACTAGGACCATGGCGATTAGAGATATCGTTCCTTCCAGTAGTAACTTACTGGAATGCGCAAAGAAAACGAGGACAACAAAAAATGCCGAGTTGAAACTGCTCGAAGACCATCCCTGATCTGGATCTTCCTGGTTGCATCGTCGACACTGGAACAGTCAAGGACTGCTTTTGTCCCTCAATCATGCTTGTGTGTCGCCAGATCAACAGCGAGTATATGGCCATCAGTCATCCAGCCATGACACTGGGTGTGTGCTTCCATGCTTTTGGCGTCGACGATGTTCGTGAGAGATTGAGTAATAACGAAACTCATCATTCGATTCCTCCTCAGAGAATCATGGCCCAGATCACCCGTCTCGACATCAGGATCTGTACAGGACTTGGATGGCCACACTGCGGTATGCTCTGTTCCACATGCAGCGTCATTTCTCATCTTCTGACTCTGGCGCACAGTGTAGACTATTGCCCTGCTATACAGAATCTCTTTTCTCGCATGACCATGATGACTCATACTCTCTTCACATGCAGATTCTACATCGATCAACTAGACGAACCGGGACTGAACGACCCCGGGGAATTTGAAAGATATGGTGCTTGGATTGCAAGAACAACCGGGTTCTTCCCAACCATGACATGTGCAAGACGTTGCAAATTCCGATCGGAGTACCAAATCCGTTGCGACCTATACTGCCCATGGTCCAACGACGCTATGCATATAGCAGAAGAAGACATCGAGTATTCCACCAACGAACTGGTCTTGGGCGTTTGTTCGAAGCCGTCGGAAGAGACTTTCAAGCTCCATAACCTCGATATGATGTTTCTTGGCGAGGAGGAAATTGTTGATGGCGATTAATGGTAGCATAGAGGCCTACGAGAAGGTTTTAGAGGCGTACGAGAAGGTTCAAGAGACGTATGATGATGTGGCTCCAAGCGACCATCAGCGCCGGCCCACCACGGCTCAGAGGTAAAGGTTCAAGTACAGAGTTGTCTTTTGCTCAATCATGAGAGGATCTTTGGATGCTGGAAACTTGAGGTTGAGCCAGAGCTAGAGCCAGAGCAAAGTGGTTGCAGACCGGCCGGCAAATACAGCCTCCTATGTGGAGTCTTCGAGAGTGGATCTCTGTTTGAGACGTGCGTGATCTCCAGACCGCAAAGTGCTACACCGAACGGTTACACTGTAGCAATTGTGTGATTGACTGCACCACGAGAATTCTCTGTGATACTATCTATAAGCAAGATCGTTGAGAAAGGAGCTGCGGATGCGTCTGCTAATACCCCTGCTTGGTCTTACACTGTTGATGCACAGGATGTACGTGTTCTCAGCTATATGTTCGCAGCGATTGCCAGACCTGGACATGAAATCTGCGTGCGTACTCCATCCACTATCTCATACTTCGGAACAGATTTCATCGCTTTGCGTGTCACGTTCAGAAAGCCGGTGCCGTTCATCTTGTGTATCTTTCATCTTCCAGACTGTAAACCCAGGGTCCTCAAAGGAATCCAAACGGCCCATCGGGGTACACTCTCTTTCGACGAGGATGATCGTCGCTTCGCTCGTTAGTGACTGGACTGATCTACGATGACGATCAAAGGTCCCTCTTGTGACTCGACTACGTAGCTGTGACAGCCTTACCAGTCTAATGGGCTGGTCGTGCTGCCTGGGCTCTCGGTCGATATGAGTCAGTTTCGGTCTGTCACTGAATCATCTCAGACCATTTTATTCATTGATTCATCGGAGTGAATCACTCGCTGCTACAAGCCAGCATCTAGTTTCTAGAGACGCAGTATTGTCATAAGTCCACTCCTGATTGCTCAAACCTCTCATGATACCCTCTTCTCCATCTCGATGTAGTACATCGTTGAAGCAAGTCCAATGTCTGCCATGTATAACCACATGCTCCAACGACTCAACCTGACCATACTTTGGGCAGTCAAATTGTAACGACGAGCTCTTCCAACCAGAGCCTATTCGCAGGACGTTCCACTCGATTAATCCGTCGAGTCCGTGCGGTCAGTCCTTCTAGCTTTGTGGCGCTATACCTTTGCCCAGAAGCTCTTCCAGGACGATGGACATGTCTTCCATCTCGAAAAACTCACACGGTGGTACTTGCTCGCGACTAGTAGGCGAATATAAGTCTCCGTCGAAGGTATCGTACATGCCAAACGTACGAAGGGACTTGAGATTCGACCTGATCCACAAAACCAGAGATCTCCAAGACCCCACCAGACGAGTAGAAGAAAGCCAAAGGTGGCCAAGAGTCGACCGGTGTTTGCTCAAGAATGAGACCAGATCCAACTCAGAGCAGTACAGGTTTGATAAGTTGATGACCTTGAGCGAGTCCGATACCACAGCATCAGAAAGCTGCGCGAGGTCGTGACACATATTTGCTCCCGCTCCCTGCAAAGTGAGGATGTTGAGGTCCTTTGCTTGCAACAATACCTGCTTGACCGACTTCAAGACAGCGTCTGAACGGTGACGGTGGATATCCACATCGAAAGCAGTCAGGTTAGCTGAGAGACGATCGATATCCTCATCGAGATCATCATCCCATAGCTGGCCCCCACCCACGAGATCAGCATCTGTAACATTCGATAGAGAAAGCCGCGCAATTGTGCATCCGCTGTTGGTCACTGCTTTGATCAAAAGACTTGTGGCTTCTTTCCAGTACAACTTGAACACGTTACTCTCTTCCCTGACCTCAACAACGGCCCCAGAGAAGCAACCTCGAGCCCCAACGTATGTCTGTTCATCATCAGAAATTTCTAGGCACAGAGAGCGGTCATACTTTCGGAGCGTCTTAAAAGCTTCGGTAAGGAGGCCCAAAGCATCGCCGGATTGCTCAAGTTCTACCTCTTCGTGGTATCGATCCAGATACTGATGGACTACTTTGGCAGACGCTTTGGCTTTCGCCAGGTCAACTCTGAGACAGACGGAGAGCTGGGATCAAGCTCGAGAAGACTTCTGAGAAGGTACGTAGTGGTGTGAGAGTCACGCGCTGAATTTGGGGGCCGATGCGCGGATGCTTTGAGATGGCGATCAAAGCTTCGAGAGAGCGCCGTGTCAAGAGAATCGAGATGCCAGTAAAGCACATGAGATCGAACGACTGAGTGGACAACTCGCAAGTGATTTTACACGTCAAACGAAGAGCCATGAGGTCGTATCTTTCGAAGTCGACATCGGTGCAGATCTCCTTGATCAGATCCGGAATGGCTGAATCATTCTGTCCCAGGTTTTAGCCGGCACTTTAGTGACAAGTATGTACAACTTACTGCGTCATGGGGCGAGGAACGGATCTTTGGGCTGAGATAGCAAGTAAGCACGAGCAATAGAGAGCGAAATGTGCTGAAATGGACCGACGATTTGGACGTGGGGATCACGGCGAGATTGAACTCTCGAGGGAAAGTGGCCGACCGATCAACGCTGAACGACAACGCGGGAAAGAAGGAAGCAGAAGCTCGTTGGACGATGCAGGAAACGCCCACCTACAAACATCACTTGTTTGTGTTCGCGTTTGAGTCTGCAGTTGATCACTCACCCACAAGACGGATATTGCAGGGCAGTAACCAGATCGAGAACCGACTATCTCCGTTAGGAACTGTTCTCTGAATGAACGTCATTTTGTAGTAACTCACTGTGGGCGCAACATTGGTGTGGAAAGGTGACTTTTATTCACGTGTGCAAAAGTTGTGAGAATTCGCCACCCCCAACTTCGAACTTGATGCTCTGATCAGCTAGTCTATCTACCATTAGCTTGATAGCTATACTACCATAGTCAATTATCTTATTATACACGTCAATATGGACCAATCCAGTGCTGCTGAAGCGTTGTTTGAAGTAGCAGCTAGTCCTGGCCCTTATACGCGTTCTTAGAGCAGGACTCGAGACTCGAGCCTCTTAACCGCTCCACCTTCGCCAGCACCTCCTACCGCACACCGGGGCACGCGACGGCATATACACTTCGATCTAGAGCTGGAAACTGGTCCTTCTAGTGCTCCTGTTGCTATACCGGCTCGATTAACCCGTGGAAAAGCGCCAGTTCGTCTTATTAATTAACAAACACTCCCCGAATCCACCTAACGTTAGGTTATAGCAAAACATCCTCCCTCTACCCAACTACCACAACCACCTCTAAAAAAGGTATCCGCTAGTAGGAAACCACTTTCCAATGCTGCGAACACGTTAGGTAAAGAACGGACATCAAATACCTTAAGAAAGACTAAGATATAGGCCCTAGCGACTAAAAATCGACCCGCGAAGCTATATAACAACCTAGCCCTAACCACTCGCCGATTAACCACTACTACGAATAAGGTCACCAAACTTTGTAGCAACCTTCCGAAGGGTTATAAGACCGCCACTATAAAGAAAGTATCTTTAGATTTGTCTACTGTCACTATAGGTCCTATCGCTATAGCACCTCCTATCCTAATTCCATTTAAGCTTTAATTTAACATACGCTAGGGCCACTAAAGGATCTCTAAAAGTGACACTAGCCTTACCGATAGTAACAAACCATAGGCAGAGGCTTTAAAAGAGATAGATAAAACTGTTATACCTTATTTAGAAGGTTAAGGGATCGCGCTATTCTATCCATAGAAAATTAAGGCCTTAATTACATCGACCGGTGCTCGCGGTCTCTATTAGACTAAAGTAGTTATTCTTACTAGGGTCGAGGGTAGTGGTAAGCGCTAGAAGAAGGCTATAGACCTTATTTAATTTAATGCTTATAGCGGCATAAAGGACCTATCTCTTATAGTTAAGTCTATATAGACGCCTAATAGTAAAGAACTAGAGCTAGAGGCACCCCCTACGTACGAAGCACCTATAAGTATACCTTAGTCTTCTTAAACCTCTTACTATACTCGATCTTAGAGATCGATCGAATAGACTACTAACTTCATATTAGAACGAGCAGTATTCTAGGACTTAATTATTAAGTTCTAGGATTGCCTAACCCTACTACGCTACTATATTAAGTTACGTAGAGGTCTTATATGCTTCCCGTATTAGGGTCGCCATTACGAGATCGTCCTTACCGTTTCTAGCCGATGGCGCGATAAGGTTAGGACTAGTAGAGGTACCCTCGAGTAGCTAAATAAGGCGATCTAAGACCTTATTAAAAGACTCTATTAGGCTAAGGAAGCTACGCTTAAGAAGTAACCTTAGAGACGACCTAATCCTATATAAGGTTTACCTTCTTAAGGCACTATTAATAACATCTATATCGGCTATAAGAAGACTACGTAATTACTAGCGACTATACTAACTACTCCTACTCCTTAACAGGTCTCGCTAGTACCGCTAGAGCTAAATACCTCTACTAGTTAGGAAGATTATTAGGACGGTGTAAAATTGGCTTACCCTAATTAGTTAATAGGCCTTAATCGAGCGAAGGTAGCGCTTAAAGAAGACTACTAGACCTTAAGAATGCTTTACGCATCTTCTAATAATATGTTATTACAAGTAATTAAGCAAACTAGCCTTTATATAACCCTTTATAAGGAACTAACTAAATTCGTCGATAATTATAAGCGTTAATAACGACGATAGTAGAACTCTAACTAAGTAGCATTTAAACCTTGCCATAGTAGTAATCTAAGCGAGTTTAGAGGCTCTATCTCGCGACCCTCGTCGGTCTTAGGCCCTAGCTCTACTAGCTCGAGTAGTAGTAATTATAAGATCTAATAGCACTTAGCTACGTACGAATAGGTTTCTAACGTCTACTTCTTTAAGGGCCTATGTAACTACTTATTCGAGGTGTAATATCTATGCCTTCTTATAATCTGCTAGTTCTAGATCCTCTAGTTTTAGGGCTAGGTCTCTCTAACGACGGAGCCACTATTTTAAGAGGTAGAAGGTTAATTTAATAGGGTTAAGGTGTAGTAAGTATAGTGGTAGGTATAA